CTGGTATCAATTTATTGTTTAATAATAATAATAATAATAATAATAATAATAATAATGATAATGATGACGACGACGACGACGACGACGACGACGACGACGACGACGACGACGACGACGACGACGACAATAATAAAAAAGAAATCTCCAAAAAGAGAAAAAATTCTCTAATCTGCTGTTATCTTACTTGCTCACATTCAAGAAAATCCGAGCCCAGCAATTGTTGTTTTAATCCAATGTACTAGGCTGAAAATTAATCTTCTTATCGCTACCTCATCTATAATATATCTATATAAGCGCATCGCACAGACCTTTTGTATTTGTGATTGATGATGCTATAGCCCGTATATATTTGTTAGCCTAGCTTTCCCTCTCTCCGACAATCTTAGACTCTTGATAAGTCTTCATCCAAATAAGAAAAGAGGGCGTCATGGCGAATACCCAGCCACGAATCAATCGTGAAAATTATTTTTGCGAAAAATATCACTTTAACCAAGAATCGAATCTGGGTCCCCTATTTATCTTATCCTTCCGATTACTAAGACATGTAATAATATTTATCGCAATAATGCATTTAGAACAACACGCTAAACAATACAATGTCACATATATACATATACATCATTACCCTGTACATACATGTATATATATTGTCGAATCCTCACGACCGATATTCCAGAGAGATGATGGTTATTCTCTCAATAGATGCAGGTCGAACTGCAGCGGTGACACCCTCTAATGTCTTTAACAAAAATACCAGAAATTCTCCTGGAACGCAGCAGGAGAGATTGCATTTGTTTGATCATGTTAATATTTGCTACAGTCCCAATTGACCACGTTGTGATTGGCCATGTTGCGATTAACTACATTGATATTGAGCACGTTGCAATTGACCACCGTTTCGATTGACCACAGTCCCAATTAGCCACTGTCCCGACTGACCTCTGTTCCGATTGATCACGGTTCTGTTTGACCATCGTTTCGATTGACCATGTTAAAATTGATCATATTGAATATTTTTATCGTTGTTAGTATTATTTATTTTACTACTAAAAATGTAGAATAGGGAACTATTCTCCAGTGGCCAATGACAACATATGTTAAGGTCATGACTCTGAGTCACCCAAAAAATTTTATCCGTCGAATGTCGTTCATTAAAAAGTTATAATCGTAAAAGTTAATTAATATTAGAAGGATAATAAAATATAATCAAATATGAAATAAAAATAAAATTGCATAAGTTGGGCAATCTCACGGATTTCAATATGTCATATCAAGGTCATCATCCTGGTAATAACCAAAGGATTTTCCGTCACTCGACATTTGAATTTAACTTTGCAGAAAGCTTGTAGAAAGTTGTAAACCCATGTGGGACTTTGTTTCGTGTTAAAAGTTTTATATGCGTGGAGACAGTGTGTTTCGTTCCTCCTACGGGGAGGCTTCACTACAAAGATCTAACTTAATCAACCTGTATCACAATGATAGATAAATGTCATAAATATAAATATCATTGTATACCACATCATTGTGATATTTAACTACCGCCCATGGATTTATATAAGAGTGGGTTAATGTGTGTGTGTGTGTGTGTGTGTGTGTGTGTGTGTGTGTGTGTGTGTGTGTGTGTGTGTGTGTGTGTAGTAGTTAGTTTGTTAGTGTGTAATACAAATAATATTTCTATTTCAATATTAGTACAAATAAAAGTAAAATAAAAAATAGAGAGAATTAAATATAATACATCATATTATATATTTCCGTCTCACTTACAGACTGCGGACTGTCGGTATACTTTGTTATGTACTAGTGTAGTTAAATTTAGTGATGACACAAACTATTATGCTATATTATTATTATTATTATTATTATTATTATTATTATTATTATTATTATTATTATTAAACAATAAATTGATACCAGCTGGTTTCATGTATACAACAATAATAACAAAGACTGATGCATGACAAGCGGAATCTTGGTTGCTAAATTTTAATTTGAAATAAATTTAATAATTCATATCACCAACTTCGAGCCGCTTAGTTTAGTAGACTTTCAACGTAGTGATTGTATAATAATTCGATATCAAATAATTTTTGATATCGATTAAAATCCCTTTTATTATCCCCCCCACTCGAATACATGCACACTACATACATAAATGTATAACAAATAAGTATTAATCGTCTAACACGTGCACAATAACTTAATACAATAACTTATACAATAACAATAAAACAAAATATACATCTACATCACACATATATATACAGAAAAGACATCACACTCTTTCGTACTCCCCTAAAATTCTTCTCAGATGCTACCTGTCCCGCTAAAGGAATTACATCTTTCTTCCGATCTCATCTCCTCCTCCACCGATCTAAATGCATGCCTTCCTAATCTCTTATAGGGAGAGAAAATATGACATCTTTAGATAGATGAGCCAGAATAGAAAAATTCTATCCGAATAGTGTGTATATTTAAATATACACACACATACACTCCATACTTCAAATATATAAAATAATAAAAAATAATAATTATAAAATAATTGCAATCTGGAAAACAATGACAAAAAATAATTTAAATTTATTTCTATTTCTTATTGAAAGTTTTTCTAATCGATTGCCTATACATTTCGAAAAGTCTTTTTCTTTTACATTTCGCAGATATTTCTAAGTACGCATACGCTTTACATTTAATAATTTTTCTGCTGCATCGTCTCGCAATATGTCACTATTTACATTTTTTATCATATTAT